CAGGGCATAGGCTTGGAGCAGGAGGCACAGGGGTTGAAGCCCTGGGGCCCTGGCATGCCCTCCCCTCGGGGGAGGGTTCCACTGTTCCCTTATCTAAATAACTATTTACAGTACTTAACAACTACTTAACTAGATAGAAACTTCAACTGCGAACTATAATACAACCGGTAAGAGATAAGCTGCTAACTTCTTCTTCGAGTGCTTGCTCATGTCCATTCCGATTAGGTGAGTCCCTAGCCGTGTCCCCCCTCCGGAGGCGGGGTCGGAAGGTGACTAACTATTATCTTATCATTCTGCAGAACACAGAACTGACGACTGCTAAGCGATAGGCAATAGCCTGAAGCACGCTCCAGCTACCGTCACGGGCGGTAAGAAGGAACTGAGGGGTGGGAGGGCCAGCAGGGGTATATATGCACCGGTATACCGGCGCCACTCCAGGGGGCTCCCTGCTGGCCCTATGGGTACTGCTAAGGGAAAAAAGCTCCGGAATCCGTGCACGCGGCGCGCGTACACCTAATCAGAATGGACATGAGCAAGCACTCGAAGAAGAATAAAAGGTTTTAATTACCTTATAATCAAACCACTAGGTGCATGTTTTGAAGATGGTATTGGAATGCACTTCCATCAATAAGAGAATGCTTATACTATAAAAGAAGCACTTCCTACCTCCTTCATTAAAGAGCATGGGAGATTTCATCCTAAATTTTACCTAATTTTTATTTCCATACTACTCTGCAGTATGCTTCCAATCTAAACACTGGTCAAGGTACATGAAATGAACAGGAGTTTGCATGGATGACAGGATATGATGTGAAAGAGAGCTTTGATTATAGCTGTACATGACTTTATAACCAACTTTCTACCTAACAAGCTTGAAGCTGAGGTCAGGCTAACCAAACCTTGTGATAGTCTTGGGCTAGAATTTGAATCAACTTAGGCCATTGCGAGTATATAAAACATTACAGCTCAAAAAAACAGTTACCTGTTTCTGTAACTGGTGTTCAAGATGTGTTGCTCATATCCATTCAACATAGGTGTGTGTGTTACCACGTGCACCAGTGCTGGAAGATTTTTCCTTCAGTAAGGGGGGAAATACCCATAGGGGCCTGGGTCTTAGCACCCCCTGGAGAACACATTCCTAGCTATATAGGGAGCTCTCAGGCCCCTCCCTCCTCAGTTCCTCTTGCCAAAAATACTCTGCCAGTGGGGACGGAGGGTGGGAGGTTGAATGGACATGAACAACACATTTTGAAAAACACCAATTATAGAAATAGGTAACTGTTTTTTCTTCTTCAGGTGCTTGCTCATGTCTATTCAACATAGGTGACTGCTAGCAGTGTCTGTGGAGGTGGGCAGGAAACTCAAGAACATGCAGATTGCAGCACCACTCTACCCCAGCCACACCAAGACTACATTGCCCTACAAGTGCACAAGAACACTTTGCACACGTTCCTGACTGCTCTGCGCTCCCTGAGGTATATGAGAACCACTGCCTCATCCTGAGATCACTAGCCCGGCATCTGGGTCATTCTGAGATAAGCTCCTCATCACTGGTCCAAGGCATCGGACACTAGCTAGAGTGAATGTTGAGGCTGCTCGAACAGGACACTGGAGAGTAGATTACAGGGATTTATCCACCAAAGCAGGGAGTGGAGTATATGTGGCGGCATCATGACTACACGGTTGAGGAGGTGCCTTACTGGAGAGTATACCAACGTCAGCCGCAGTTGCAAAGGGCAGATCCTGAGCCTGATAGATGGTACCACATAAGTGCAGGCTTCCATACAGCTGAGGATGTGCAAGCACACCCTCACAGTCGTCAGGAGGGTGAGGGATAGCTGATCATTTTGGTCCCATAGTGCTCTGGACTGGTCCTGAAAGAGGGCTGCTGTAGAGCTGAGTACTGCACCTATACTCATCCCACACCGTGGCCAAGACCCAGCGATCTGATGTAATTTCCATCCATGCAGGGAGAAAGGGATTGAGATGGAATAAGAAGTGGCAGAGAGGTGTCTGTTATGTTGCCCTTGGGCATACTTGTTTGAGGGCTTAGAGTGACTTGACAAGCCTTGAGACCCTGGCTGTGGTTGTTGCCCCTGTCTCTTTCTGAACGGCTTCACACACCCCTGGGTCAGGTCCTGCCTAGTAAGCTGCTGAAAAAGCTGGGGCTTAAAATTTTTATGCTCTGATATGTAGAGACCCAATGTTTTAAGGATTCTAAGAGAATCCTTGAGCCCATGCAAGTTGATGCCTGTCTGTTCCACAGAGTTTTACTGTTGAAGGGGAGATTTTGGATTGAGTTTTGGGTCTCCACAGACAAAACCAAGAGAAGAAGCCACACAGCCCTTCTCATGGAGATCATGGAGGCTCTGGACCTTGCTGCTGAGTCTGCAGCATCCGACGGCACCTGTAAAGCTGCCCTTGCTAGGGCCGAGCCTTGCTCCTGAGCACCTTTACCACCTCCCTGGATGCTTTGGAGAGCAATGCCTCAAATTTGGCAGTTCACTGCCATGAGCTGAGGTCATAGCACACGAACAGAGTCTTATGGTTCACCCCCTGTAATTGAAAGGCTGGCCAAAGAATAAAGCTTTCTTCCAAACAAATCCAAATATTTGCAATCCCCATTTCTCCCTGTGTTTCAATGACTCCCACTATAAGGGAGTTTGGCAGTGGGTGGGTGTAGAGGTAGTTGTGGTCCTAGGGAGGCACAAAGTACTTCATCTCCACTCTCTTTGAAATAAATGAGATAGAAAAGGGTGTTTGCCAAAGTGCCCTGGCAATCTTGGCTACCCCTTCATGTAGGGGTAGGGCCAGTCCAGGCAGTGTACCATGATCCAGGACTCCAAGGAGGAGTCCAAGACCTCCTGGACTTCCTCTGCTTGCAGCAGAAGGTCTGTAGCTACCCACTTGAGAAAGTCCTGGTGGGCCTTTGTATCATCCGGGGGGACTACCATGAAGGGGCCCAATGGCCTCATCTGGTGGAGGAGGAGGAGACCTGACCCCCTTGATCTCACACTAACCCCTCCAGTTTGGGTATGAGATGATCTCTCACCTCCAGTGTCAGGACCTGGCTCATTAGGAGTGCCAAGGAAAGGGTTCAAGGCTCCAGTCACTGAACAAGCTGCATGGGGCTGAACCAGGAAACACCAGAGGGTCCAAGGGCACCACTATACCTGGCAATATTGCTGAGGCCAAGGGATGCCTTGAGAGGCCATCTGCATTATCACTTGGTACTTCTCCTACTCTGGTGCTGAAGGCTGTGGCGTGGGCAGGGAAGCACTGTCACAGGTGGCAAAAAGTAACTAAGGAAGGAGTAGACTGGGAGTGCCCTATATAATGCAGCATGTGCACGCCACTCCAGGTGGCTCTGAGATCCAGGCCCCTACGGTTACTGCCGAGGGAAAATCTTCCAGCACCAGTTCATGTGGTGAGCACACACACTTATGTTAAATGGACACGAGCAAGCATTCAAAGAAAAACATTACAGCTTCCACATAAAAGAATGTACAATTTGTCAATTTCAGCTGTTTAATTTGTTCCAGTCTAAAACTCAGCATCATTCTTAAGGGGTTGTGAAAACAGAAAAAGGTTCAGATGAAATGTGAACCAGATTTGTGGGTACTTATCTCACAGCTGACCTCAACAATATCACACAGGTTACTTTAAACTTCTGATGCTAAAACAAAAGCCTAATGTTGAGAAGGAAGAAAAACTACAGTTATCCCTGAGGAAGTGTATATGCCACAAAAATATTCTAATTACAGTGTTATTCTCAATCTCCAGTCATTTATGGCATTTGCCTTTTAAATAAATGTTACTTCTAATGATACAGTCCACTCTAATGAGGGAATTTAATGGAGGAATGCAATGTCTGACACAGGAAGTATTTTAATTGGCTAATAGGATCATAGGATGCTATAAAGATTATGGTTAGATTATGACTCTAGGAGCCAATTCACTAGTGAAGCTGCCCTCAGGATGACATACAGTGAATATTATATTTATTAATATTACATGTTTGATACTAAATCATTTTGCACAGTTGCAAAAGTAATGACAAAAACAGCAAACTACAATGATTGACAAAGCCAATGGACACAGTTATTAATGTTACAGGAAGAAGAAAGAGGAACATAAGTGTCCCAGAGTGGGCAAAGAGGAAGAAGAGAAAAGTCTTAGGATAATATTCTGCACTATGAAGAATCACACTATTCCATAAAAATAAGGGATCCAGTAATGCACTGGATGAATGAATTTAATTAAACATTTTACAAAATATGCAATATACACGGGATTTAAAAAAAGACAAATGGGTAGCAATGTTCTCTGATGCTATCAAAATATTAAATACCTACTTTTTTTTTTAACATCGTAAATTCTCCCCGGGAACCTTGAATAAGCTTTCCACTAACCACTTGTTTAATAGTATAACAATAAAACCCTAAATGCTCTCTCCTCCCAATGGGACTATTACTTCATTTCTGAAGGTATCTACTTCTACAGGCAAATTCTCTTACCAGCTTCCTGCTGCAGTAAGAATTCGACTGGTGAGGACAGTCTCCCATTCTTTGCCTTCCCGATTACACTTCAACCTGCTCAGCTTGGAACCTCCCACAGTGGTCATCTCATTCTCCACCTCAATGTACATGGAGGGATCTGAGCTTATCTGAAAAAAAGAAAAGAAAAATCTCCTCAAATAATGTAGGTCCAAAATAGGGCCCAACAGTACCTTAGAGAGTGATTGAGAAAAAACTTTAGTTTTTTGTTTAAAATATCCTCAATATATGCCAAATTACTTAAAAGGAAGAGATTCCATGAGCTACTCCCAATCAATAATTTCTGATTATTTTGAGTTTCCCAATTAAAAAAAAGTGTTTATTAAATTCTGGACACCAAATCTAGTTCAAATGGGCTAATGCTGCAGTCTTTCAGAATTCCTACAGTAAAAGCCAGACTTCTCTGGTAAAAGCACGTAAAGAAGGGACTATGTAGTATGTGAGTCTGTGTTAATGTTGCCTTCCAGGAGCTGAGCATGTAACTACCATATAGAGAACTCAGAAAAAATGCCCAGTTTTTTACTTGAGTAATGCAGAGGTGCATAGGTGAAGAGAGTTACCAGTCCTGCTGCTGCTGCCACCGCCAGTTCCTTTTGAACACCAAGGCTAAGTAAAAGAAGGGAGAGGGTGCTTATGGAGGCGAAGAGGTAGCCATGTTAGTCTGCAAAAACAACAACATGTCCCGTGGCACCTTGGAAATTAAGATTTATTAGGGCATAAGCTTTCATGGGTAAGCCCCACTTCAGATTAAATGGATTTGAAATTACAGAGGCAGGGATGTATATATGAAAGAACAACAACAACAACAAAGGTATTTAAAAAGTGTTTATGAGGCTAAACAAGTCAGGGTGGATGTGGCTCATTCACTGCAGCTGATGGAGAGGCATGAATATCAAGAGATAGGAAGTTGCCTTTGCAGTGTGTTAACCAATTTAAATCTTTATTCAAGCCTAACTGGATTGAACTGAATTTGCAAATGAACTGGAGTTCAGCGGTTTCCTTTTGTAACTGAGTTCTGAAGTTTTTTTGTAGAAGAATGGCTAATTTTAAACTCTTTACGGAATGTCCAAGCAGATTAAAATGTTCTCCTACAGGTTTATGCATGTTACCTTTCATGATGTCCCATTTGTGTCCCTTTATACTTTGGCACAGAGACTGTCCTATCTGGCCAATATACATGGCAGAGGGATATTGATGGCACTTGATGGCATATAGCACATTAGTGGAAGTGCAGGTGCATGAGCCCCTGATGTTGTGGCTTATGTGGTTAGGTCTTACGATGGTATGGCTTGTATAGGTTTGTGGACAGAGTTGGCAACAGGGTTTGTTGCAGGGATAGGTTCCTGGATAAGTGTTTCTGTGAAGTGGTGTGTGGCTGCGGGTGAGCATTTGCTTCAGGTCGGAGAGCTCTCTGTATGTGAAGACTGGTCTGTCTCCTTAGGTCTGTGAGAGTGAGGGATCATTTTCCAGGGTAGTTTGTAGATTGTCAGTGATTGCACTGGTGGGCTATGTCTACACTGCACCCCTTTTCCGGAAAAGGGATGCAGATGAGACAAATCGGAATTGCAAATGAAGCGGGGATTTAAATATCCCCCGCTCCATTTGCATGAACATGGTTGCCGCTTTTTTCCGGCTCGGGGCTTTGCCGGAGAAAGCGCCAGTCTAGACGGGATCTTTCGGAAAATAAAGCCTTTTCCGAAAGGTCCCTTATTCCTGAATTTCCCTTATTCCCCGTCTAGACTGGCGCTTTTCTCCGAAAAAGCCCCGAGCCGGAAAAAAGTGGCAGCCATGTTCATGCAAATGGAGCGGGGGATATTTAAATCCCCGCTTCATTTGCAATTCCGAATTGTCTCATCTGCATCCCTTTTCCGGAAAAGGGGTGCAGTGTAGACACAGCCGTGGGGTTTCAGTTGGGAGTTCTAGATGATAACTATTGGTGTTCTGTTATTTTCCATGTTGGACCTGTCCTGAAATAGGTGACTTCTGGGTCCTTTTCTGGCTCTGCCAATCTGTTTCTTCACTTCCCCAGGTGGGTATTTAAGTTTTAAAAATGCTTGATAAAGATCTTGTAGATGTTTGTCTCCATTTGAAGGATTGGAGCAGATATAGTTGTATCTTAGAGCTTGGCTACAGACAATCGATCTTATGATGCGTCCTGGATGGAAGCTCGAGGCATGTAGGTAAGAACAGAGGTCTGCAGGTTTCTGGTATAGGGTGGTGTTTATGTAACCATCATTTATTTGTATTGTAGTGTCCAGGAAATCGATTTCCTGCATGGATTGGTCCAGGCTGAGTGGAAATTGTTGAAATCCCGGTGGAATTCTTAAAGGGTCTCCTTCCCAAGGGTCCATAGAATGAAGATGTCATCAATGTAACACAAGTAAAGGTGTGCCAGGAGACGGGAGTTGAGGAAACATAGTGTTTTTATGGCTGACCTAAAACTAACACATTGTAGGGCCATGTGGGTGCCCATATCAGCGCCTATGACTTGAAGATATAAATTGTCCCCAAATCAAAAATGATTGTGGGTGAGGAAAACGTCACATAGATCAGCTACCAGGTGTGCAGTGGCATCACAGGGGATAATGTTCCTGACAGCTTGTAGTCCAGGTCAAGTGATAACAGAAGGAATGAACTGCTGAAATGCATTGCCTCTGCAGCCAGGTGAGGAAAGAAATATGGAGTCAGAAGCTAGAGCAGGGGTGTGCAATAATTTTTGTTGGGGGGGCCACTCCAAGATTTTGGAAAGTGATTAAGGGCCATATTTTTCTGTGGAGGAGGTGTGGAGGTGTTTAGGATGGTGCAGAACAGTGTAAAGGGTAAGGGACTGGGGTACAGAAGACAATGTTAGGTCTGAGAGGGAGTTTGGGTGAAAAAGGGGGTTGTGACCTGGGGCAGGAGCCTTGCATAGAGAGTAAGGTTGTTAAATATTTCTTAATTTACAAGTCAAGCAGTCGATAGGCACTTTCCCCATTCGTCTTTTGAAATGTAGGGCTTTTGTACATTTCAAAGGAGGAATGTGGATCTTGGCATGGGGCTGGGTCCAGTGGGAAGTCCAGGCAGCACATGGGCTTGCCAGCTTTGAAATGTACAAGAGTCCCCAGTGGGGAAGTGCCCTCACGAAGTCTCCCACCGACCCCAGGCTTCATGTTGCGCTGCCACTTTGAAATGTCACATGGAGCCCAGGGTCAGTTCGGGACTCCCCAGCTGATCCCGGGCTTAGCAAAGCATTTCTGTGGAACCTGAGATCAGCTGGGATACCACTGATTCCGCCTGGTATTTCCCCAGAACCCAGGGTCAGCTGGGGACTCCCAAGCTGATCCAAGGTTCCACAGTAATGCTATTATGGAGCCCGGGATCAGCTGGGGAATCCTCAGCTGACACCGGGCTCCACACGATGCTGCAGCTTTGAAACACTGAGGCAGCTTTCAAAGGGGAAGCACCGCACAGCTGCACAGCTGCATCTGGGGTCAGCTGTGAGGCGCTGCCCTTTTGAAACACCACCTCGGCATTTCAAAGCGGCAGTGCCACAAGGAGCTGACCCCGGGCTCCATGTGGAGCTGCTTTGAAACACCAAAGTACCTCCTCTTCCCCGCACTTTGCTGCCTCTATCTGATAGAGGCAGAAAGGGGGGGCGGGATTGATTAGACGACAGGAGCTGCATCTGGGGTCAGCTGTGAGGCGCTGCCCTTTTGAAACACCACCTCGGCATTTCAAAGCGGCAGTGCCACAAGGAGCTGACCCCGGGCTCCATGTGGAGCTGCTTTGAAACACCAAAGTACCTCCTCTTCCCCGCACTTTGCTGCCTCTATCTGATAGAGGCAGAAAGGGGGGGCGGGATTGATTAGACGACAGGACTATCCAATAAGCATTTGCTTATCGGACAGTCGACTAGTCCTTAACATCCTTAGTGCAGAGCCCAGGAGGGGGTCTGGGTGCAGGAGAGAATCCTGGCCTGAGGGAGGGGTGCAGGGTATAGGAGGGATACAGGGTGTGCGAGGAAGTTGTAACCTAGGGTAGAGGGGTGCAGAGGGTTTGGATGGTGATCTGATGGAGGGATTTGGGGTGCAGGAGGGGCAGGGGTGCCAGAGGCAGGCTCTGGTAGGGAGGTGCTTACCTAAGCCTCTCCTGGCCAGCAGCCCTGCAGCACCCCCAGAGACCGCTTAAAACTGCGGGCTGCTTCCTCCGTCAGGCTCTCAGATCTGAGGGAACAGGGAGAGACTGGGGCAGCCCCAGTCCCCCAGGCCAATCTCTCAAGCGCCTACTGTCTAGTTGTTTCCTGCCAACTAAAGCTGAGGGAGGGGTGGGGGCAGGTAGATCACAAAAAGCCTCCTTCTGCCTCCAGAGTAGAGAGGCACACAGCAGCCCTGTGCTTAGATCAGCATCTGCTACATGCCTGAGGGTCCTGGCAGGGTGTCCATGGGCTGGATTTGGTGGTTTGGCAGGCCTGATCCAGCCTCCAAGAGATCTTGCCCACTCCTGAGCTAGAGGATGCATGTGACCTATTTAGGTTCCAAATCCAAGTCAGTTAGGGAAGGAAAAGAAACAGCTGGAAGACCAACAATGGCAGGAAATAGCCAACTGAAAAAATCTTAGAAAAAAGTAGGGTGGTTAAGGCTCCTTCTTAGACAGGGCAAAGAGAATCTGCTTGAATCCTTCAGTTTAATATAACTATTTTGAGTATCTTAAGGATATTTTTAGCAAAGTAAACTAATCTTGGGGAAAATGCCTTTTAAGTAAACAATGTTGGTGTCATCCACTTACTTGCAATGTAAACGATTTCTGTGGGATTGGGGTTGGCAGTTTAAGTGCTAATGCTGGTGCAGATATGCAAGTGGCATCCTTCTCAGAGGCCAGGGCAGCTGGCGACTAGAAAAAAAGTCAACATATATACAATTAAAAACAAAAACTTATGAACATATGAAACAGCAAATGGTTATCATTCACTAAGGTGTCTCAGTACCGATATATCCAAGTTGCCAAGAGGGAAACCTTAAATAATGTTTAACACACATTTATCAGAAAAACCTTAGGCAAAAACATTTTTTTAAAATACATATTCCATAACTACTATGTTCTCATTCTCTATACTAGTTGCTCAGAATTGTGAGGAACAATATGTGGTCATTATACTTTGCATTATATCATCTTTACCACTTTCCATATGCACTATCTTAATGGAAGCTCCCGTACGTTTCAGGCCTAGACCAGCCTTTGAGTGTTGGTAAAAAAAAAAGGAAAAACTTAAAAAACAATAAATAATCTAGCAGCACCTAAAAGGCTAACAAAACATGTAGATGGTATCATGAGCTTTTTGGGTACACTTCTTCAGATGTTATTGCAACTGATAGATGGGAAGTATTTCCATAATGTACTAACTAGGTATGTACTCTACTATGTTCTACTGAATGGAAAGTCAAATCTGTTTAAGTTCTTACAATTATGTCATCTCTTGAATCTCATTGCTGACAGCTGATGGAGTTTCTCATTTAGTTCAAGTGGCAGACATCTGTGGTGTTTGAAACCAAGGTCCTGCGTCTAACTCCAATACTATATATATACAGGTTAGTTAGGGGCTGTGATATTTGTATGTGCACAGCACACAGGTTTGTTACATTATGTGCACCTTTATTTTAAAACCTTAAGAATTGGGTAAAAAGCAAGCAACAGGATTAGCTTCAAAATTTTGAGGAACCTTAGCACTCCTGGTTTAACTTGACCACCTTCTGTTTAATCTAATGCAAGGAAAACATTTTGCTTTAGTAAATAAATAGCAAAAATCACAAATATTAATATTATGCACATAAATTAAATTACTGATTACCTGAACAGTTAAAGTCACAGGCACTAGTCTGGAGTCCTTTCGAGGCCTGCCTTTCTTTTTCTTTTCTACTGTTTCTCCCTCAACTTCTAGTTTACGCTTAGGCAGTGTCAGTGGTTTAGTAGCTGGAATCTTCTCTTCACTATCACTGCTGCTCTCCAGAATATCCTTGGGCTTATTCTCTTTAATTAAATTCTGATCTTTTAATCTGCATTAAAAGTAAAAGATTAGTTTAATAATTTACGTAAAATGCATTCAAAGTAGTCTCCCAAGTCTCTTCTGACTTTGGGAAATGGGCAGAAAAGATAATGTACCTCACATACATACTTATGGATCAGTGTGCTATGCAAGTGATCCTGGGAAAATGTACCCATTAGGAGAACAGGAACAGCCCCTACTGGATAAGACCCAAGTTCTTGCTAATCATGTATTATGTCTCCATCAACAGCCAGAACCGAATTCTTCAGATGTATAAGAATCCCACAGTCTGAAGATGTGGGGTAATCTGCCCTTCCCCACATGTAGGTATCATTCTGGGTACTAGTAGTTAAGACACTGATTGCAGGACTGAAGTACGAGGTTTAATAGTCTTTGCACTTTTATTAATTATGAAAACTCTGGTTACTTTTGATATCCATATAAATTGGGGTGAGGAACCTTTTTGGGGTCAGGGGCCACTGACCCACAGAAAAATCAGCCAGTCCCAGGCTAGTAGATTTTGTGTGCTCCAGTCCCACATGGGGGGGGAGGGAAGACTGTGGGGGCTAGCTGCCTGCATGGGGATCCAGGCAAGCCTTATGTTCCCCACCTCTGATATAAATGTTGAATCACTTTTTGAATCTTCCTAAGTTCTTGGTCTTAACAATAGTCTATGGCAGTGAGTTCCACAGGCTAATTACATTTTTCTGTTTAGTGGTTCTGAATTTGCCTTCTTTAATTTTCATTGCTTGTCTCTTGCTCTGTTAGGAGACAGGTAGAAGAGAAGGTTACTCACATTGTGCAGTAACAGAGGTGCTTTAAGATGGCTGTCCCTGTGGGTGCTCCACCCTAGGTGGCACCCAGTCAAGAGATTTTTGGTAGCAGTGCCCTCTGGTAGGCTGTGCAATCGGAGCAGACAGTAGGCGTGGTGCCGCTACTATGCATACACAGCCAACTGTCCCTTCAGTTCCTTCTCTGCCCTGGAAAAAAAACAAGCATGTCTGAAGCAGAGGGGAGGAAGGGCGGTTGGTGGAGCACCCACAGGAACAACCATCTCAAGGAACCTGTGTTACTCCACAAGGTGAGTGACCCTCTCGTCTTCTTCGAAGAGTGTCCCTACCGGTGACTATGTAGTAGTACCCGTGATCAGAGCTGGGTGCTTCGGCTAGTCAGTATCCTGCATAGCAGCTAGAACGGTGTGCCCAAAGTGAGTACCATGGGACAGGTAAGTATCAAGAGCCCACTGTTTAGCAAACATATGAACAGAGGACCATGTTGAGGATCTACAAATGTCCATAAGAGGTATGCTATGCCGGTAAGAAGTTGAAGCCTCCATGGCCCTCATGGAGCATGCACGTAGCTGCAATGGAGGATATCGGCTAAAGATGTAGTAGGCCAGTCTGATGCAGTCTACTATCCACCTGGATAACCTCTGGGTAGAGATGGGCATGCCCAAGGATCTCTCTGCAGTAGAAACAAACATCCTTGTTGACTTGTGGGTTTGTTTAGTTTTGTTCAAATAAAAGGCAATTGACCTGCAGACACTAAGTGCGTGCCTCCTTTTATCAGTGTGAGGCTTTGGAAAGAAGACAGGTAAGTTTATGGGTTCATTACAGTGATAATCAGTGGGGACCTTTGGGAGGTGTGGGCAGAGAACCACTTTGTCCTTATGAAATACTGTGAAAGGGGGGTCCGCCATCAGTGCACCGATTTCACCCATCCTCCTGGTTGCTGTGACGGCCACCAAGAAGGCCACCTTCATAGAAAGATGGAGCTTGGAACATATTGCCTGGGTTCAAATGGTTTACTGCTGACAGCTCGAACCACTAAATTGAGGTCCCAGTCTGGAACAGGAGGTCTGATAGGTGGATAAGTGTTTTCTATACCCTTGAGGAAGCACTTGATCATTGTATGTGTGAAGACAGATTTGTTGTCAATGGGCTGACAGAAGGTCTTTATGGCTGCGAGGTGAACTTTTAAGGAACTGAAGGAGAGGCCCAACTCTTAATTCTAAGAGGTATTCCAAGATGTTAGCAAGTGGTACCATTGACGGGTTCAAGCATTTTTGTCCAAACTGTGAATCTTCGTCTCTTACAGAAGTAAGATTTTCTGATTGTTATTCTGCGACTGTTCAATAAAATTTGTTTGACCTGATCAGTGAATGCTGTTTCTATTGAGGTGAAACATTGAGAAACCATGCGTGGAGATGAAGTGTTTGAAGACAGGTGATGAACTCGGCCACCCTCTTATAACAGAAGATGAGGAAGCAATGGAAGTTTTCACAGCTTTCTCTTGGACATATGAAGCCGGTAAGTGTATCACGTCTGCCAAAGCCAAACTGGAGCAATGATGATCACTGTGGCTGCGTCTGACCTTATTTATAATAATATATAATAATATGGAGATATACCTATCTCATAGAACTGGAACGGACCATGAGAGGTCTTCCAGTCCAGTCCCATACCCTCACAGCAGGACCAAGTACCATCCCTGACAGATTTGCCCCAGATCCCTAAATGGCCCCTTCAGGGATTGAACTCACAACCGTACGTTAGCAGGCCAATACTTAAACTACTGAGCTATCCCACCCCCATATTTTGTTGACTACTCAATGAAGGAGTGGAATTGGAGGGAAAGCATAGAGATGTGGTGCATTCCAGAGTACTGTGAACGTGCCCCCAGGGAATGCACGCCAACGCCCACATGCAAACAGTATTGTGGATGCTTCTTGCTGGCATCGGTTGCAAACAGGTCCACTGTCAGAAAACCCCAGTAGTTGAACAGTTGATGGAGAATTTGGGGTGGATTTAATGTGCAATGCACCATTTTCAAAGGCAGACAGCCTCCCTGAACAGGCAGTAGGAACTGGCTCCATCCTTCCTGTTGACATAATACATGGTTGCTTGGTTGTCCATGAAGATCTGAACTGTGTTGTTGCGTATGAAGTGTAGGAAATGCTGGCATGCGTAGAATACTGGAGTTCCCGTATGTTTATGTGCAGGTTCAATTAATGTGCAATGCACCATTTTCAAAGGCAGACAGCCTCCCTGAACAGGCAGTAGGAACTGGCTCCATCCTTCCTGTTGACATAATACATGGTTGCTTGGTTGTCCATGAAGATCTGAACTGTGTTGTTGCGTATGAAGTGTAGGAAATGCTGGCATGCGTAGAATACTGGAGTTCCCGTATGTTTATGTGCAGGTTCAATTCCTGTGAAGACCAACGTCCCTGCGTTTTGAGAAAGCCTGAGTGCACTTCCCAGCCCAGGAGAGAGGCATCCATTGTGATGGTCATGGAGGGGGGTCTTTTGTGAAATGGTTCTCCAACACACACACTTCTTGGGTCTGTTCACCAGTCTAGGGATTGTTTGATCCTGACTGGGATTGATCCTAATTTGTTGATGCTGATGAAGTATGGTTTGTATATAGTCCTCAGCCATTGCTGTGCAGGCCGGCTGCTGCCATATGTCCTAGCAACTGGATACATCCTTGCAGGGACTTGTGGACTGGATTTGGCCAGTGAAACTAGGTCTTGTATAGTCTGGAACCTTTGTTGTGGGAGAGAGGCTATGGCCTCCATGCAACTGAGGTGAGCTCCAATAAACTCCATTATCTGAGCTGGCTTGGAGTTTGCACTTGGACAGATTTATCTGTAAACTAGAATTCTGGAACACAGTCCTGGTTAGGGAGACTGTGTTCTGCACTTTTTGACTTGTTTGCTCTTATTATACAGTCATTGAGGTATGGAAATATTGAGACCCCTTGTCTGCAGAGATGTGTGGCAAAAACTGCAAGCACTTTTGAAAAGACCCACAGAGCGATGGAGAGTCCTAACAGCAGCACTGTGTACTGGAAGTGTGCCTTGCAGACTGCAAATCTGATGTACTTCCAATGCACTGGGTGAACGGATATGTGAAAATATGTGCCTGGAGGTTGAGAATCGACAACCACTTAAGACAGGGATAATAGTGGATAGAGTAACCATCTTGAAGCATTGTGGTCATATATATCAGTTGAGCTTCCTGAGATTTCTATCCCCCCAACTTCTTTGTTGTGAAAAAGGAATGGGAGTAAAATCCTTTGCCTCTGTAGCAGTGAGGTACGGATTTTGTAGCCCCTAGATGGAGCAGGTGGTCGATATCCCGGAGGAAAATGCTCTGGTGAGATGGATCCCTGAAGAGGGACAAGGAGGGGGAGTGAGAAGGCAGGGTAGACAAAAAATAGATACAGTATCTGCTCTTTTTAATATCCAGTACCCATCTGTCGGTCATGACAGAGGACCATTGGTGGTAGAAGGGTACTAGACATTGGCAGAATAGTTGGTAGGACAGTGGTTGCCTTAAACAGAGAGGTGTTACCAGACTCTCCACCTGACCTTCAAAATATTTCTCATAGTCAAGGGTCGAAAGGTAGAGGGCTAGTCAGGAGTTTGTCTCCATTTGGTTTGGCGTTGTCTCCTTTTGTTGTCAAAGTGCCTCTTCTTGATTAAAAGGCATGGGTTTGCATCTGAGTAAAATACCATCCCTGTTTACATTTTGTTGCAGGAACATGAATGCCAAGTGTTTTCAATGTGGCAGTCTTTGAGTGAATGATGGGAAGCCTCAGTGGTACCTGCAAACAGCTTGGAGCCCTGTAAAGAAAGATCTTTCACTGTGGCTTGTACCTCACGAGGAAAACCAGATAATTGGAGCCATGATGACTTCCTCTTTACAACGGCCATTGTGATGGAAGGAAGTAGTATTAGAAGTGTCCAAGGCTGCCTGTAAAGCTGTGCGAGAAATCAGGATGCCTTAATTTATGTTGGCCCTGAATTGCTCTCTTTTGTCTTCTGGAAAGCTATCAATAAAATGTGATAGTTGCTCAAAAATGTGTGTGTATTTTGTGAGTATCATGGAGTAGTTCGAGATCCGGAGCTGGAGAGACGCAGAGGAATAGGCTTTAAAATATGTAGCTGGAGTTGGCGTATCTTAAACCATGCTTGGCACTGTCTTCACAGAGGGAGACAGACCAGAGCAAACGCTCCCGTTGGCTTCCCTTACTCCTCTCAACTATCAGGAGCATCAGTGTGAACTGGGACCACCATCAATGTTTGATTTAGATTGTGTACCTCCCCTGCCCTGTACCATCACTCACCTGTCTATGACAATCTGATTTGTATTTATTACAGCAGAAGTCCCTGAGGTGGCTTTGGATCGTTCTGTGAATCTGGAATCAAATGCTTTCATTGGTTCGATCTTAGATGGAGTTGTTAGCACAGAGGAAGATGATACAGGGGGAGCAGTTGAAGCAGAGGTAGCATTTACACTATTAAAGGAGGCAAGAGAAAAATAAAGATGGAAAATATATTTGGAATCTTGCACTGCTCATACAAATAAAGTATCATTTAAAAGCATCATTTATCAAAACATTCTACACAGCCTAAAAGTTTCATTAAATTGGCTACTCTTGGACATGGGTGAATTAAAAAATACACCATATCCTTTCATGTGTCAATATCCTCTAGCTTTGGCTACTCTCAACAATTATTTAAAATAGAACGGAGAGTTGAAATCTTAATGCTACTTTATAAAGTCTTATCATCTAGCTATATAGAACTGATTCATTCTTTGTAATTCTCACCACTTGATTAAAAATACAAATTATCCGTGGCAAAATGCAGGACAATGTAGCACTTTAAAGACTAACAAGATGGTTTATTAGATGATGAGCTTTCGTGGGCCAGATCCACTTCCTCAGATCAAATAGTGGAAGAAAATAGTCACAACCATATATACCAAAGGATACAATTAAAAAAAATGAACACATATGAAAAGGACAAATCACATTGCAGAACAGGAGGGTGATGCAGGGGGAGGAGGGGACCCTAAATCTGGGCTCTATTAGAGCCTTTAGTCTTCAGTGCCTTTGTTGTTTGCAGCGTAGGTGGGGTGAAGCATGGGGCTCCTGTGGTCTCTTATACTCACTCCGATGTGCCTGAAGAACACAAGTCCCTGTGTGTCAGGTGGGCATTGCTGAATTTTCAGGCAAGGTTGAGCAATTCTCCTGGTGTGGTCGCATGCAGGTGATTCACTGAGTTGTTGCTTCCTTGCTGGAGGATGGCTGTTGGATACGTGACCCTAGCATTGGTTAGTCTCCTTGCTGTTGTGTCTGGAGAGCTCATTCCTCAACTTACTGTGTTTTAGTGACCACCATACAAAGAATAGTGGCTTTTAGCAGTTCATAATCTTTCTCTGATACTTCACATGACATGCTTTATAGGCAATATCCTAATGATATACAAATGAGAAATATAGATGTTACAAGATACTCCCCAAAAGTAAATTGTCACACTAAAATACTGGTGGTAGTCAGCCATGCCTTTGTCCAGAAGGCACATGGGCCAAATCAAGGTGGTGGTACGAGACAATTGAGCACAAAGTTCTTATGTAGCTTTTTGTTGAATTCCTGAAACCTATCACGCCCTTAAATACTAATGAGACTGGAGAAACTATGGTATATCAGTTCAACATGTTTTCTTCAATAATACTGCAGTTTAATCTTTCTAAAATACTGTAAAGCATTTTGGTTTTAGAAGAAAACCACTTATAAGATAGGATTGTTGAGACTTCATAGAAGTCAAACTACAAATGCAACAATGATGATATGGGGAAAATAATCTGTCCTTGTCCTTCCTCTTAGTTCTGCCCTAATTAAACACTGTACAGTATTAGTCTTCTGTTAATGCAATAAATGTAAGTTCTTATACAAAAATGGCGTCTGATTTTATGAAAGAGCTCCAAATTGTGGGACTTATGGTACTGCAAAATACAGATGGATTGCTTATCTTGAGACTTAAATCATATCGTTTCATATCAAAGCATTTATATTTATCAACTATGCATTCAGATGATTATGTAAAGTAATCCTTGTTTTGGGTGACTGCTGAAATGTATTTAAACATGCCTCCTAATAACTTCTGCAGTATTGTTTTAGGATCTTAAATTTAATTTGATTTTGCCATTTCTCTTATGTAACTTATGTTTTATTTAACTATAAAAAAAACCATATACACAAACACATAGTACATCTGAGAATATGAACCTTGTAAAACTAGTAAGTCCTTTAAAAGAGCAGGAAAAAACTGATTCATACACTTACCTTCCTCCCTCCCCCCCCCTGCATCTCCCTACTGTTCTGCAATGTGATTTGTCCTTTTCATATGTGTTCATTTTTTTTTTAATTGTATCCTTTGGTATATATGGTTGTGACTATTTTCTTCCACTATTTGATCTGAGGAAGTGGGTCTGGCCCACGAAAGCTCATCATCTAATAAATCATCTTGTTAGTCTTTAAAGTGCTACATTGTCCTGCATTTTGCTTCAGCTACCCCAGACTAACACAGCTACATTTCTATCACTATATTATCCGTGAGTATTCAGTTTCTAAGTAAAATAAATTAGTGATTATGTATAGAGCACAGCATGGATACAAAATTTGTATCTGTATACATGTCCACAAAAATGAGCCACAGATATATGCATCCACCTTGGCAAAGGCAGGTACTCATAATTCCCATGAAGCCCACATATGTGTAGGGTTCTAATTACAAAATTTATATCTGCATCCACATGCTTATCTGCCTCAGACATAGATACCCCCGGAAAAAATGCAGATATCGTGGACTTTCAAATTGTGTATACGCAGTAGAGCGGCGTGAAATGATCTGTTGGTCTCTATTGCAAATTTCTTTTGACGTAGCAAACTGAAAATTTTACACACAAGCCTGTGTGTTGCCTACACTACATTGCAAATCACATAACTTGCTTCTTGAAAACATTCTTTGAACCTCACAACAGGACCTTATATCATAAAAGTCATCTAAATACGATTTGCTCACTTTTAAAATACTCAGTTTAGCCTGAATACAGAGGTTTTAAGGGAGGTGCAATCGTCTATTAATGACAGTTCAGTGTTTTCAAGAATGATTTTGTGATTACTCCAGTGGATAACAATCAAAATACATCTTAATTCACTGGAGAAGAGCATTTCCAGTGTGTGCCTAGGGATTTGTTCAGACCTGGGAGGGCTAATTAAGTAAATTGCAGTATTTTAGAGCTATTAGTTATATTTCAACTTCGAGCTCAATCCAATAGTGGATAAGTTCCTCCATACTTGTGGTCATATTAGAAACTGCCACATAGTGGTACACATTGGATGTTAACAAGGATAAACTAATTTTACAAAAAACACAGGTTTGGTATAATTAGTTCTCAGAATAAATGGAAGTTACTCACCTTGTGCAGTAACTGGAGTTTTTCAAGATGGTGTCCCTGTGGATGCTTCATGCTGAGGGTCTTGGTGCTGTCCCGGCACCTGGATAAGAGATTCTGAAGCAGTCCCAGTGAGGGCTGCACATGCGTGGCACCACCCAGCACATGTGTGCTATTAGGTACCATGCATGTACGGTCCACACCTTCCAGTTCCTTCTCTAGTCGAGAGGCCCTGTAGGTCCGAAGCAGAGGGGAAGAAAGCAGGTTGTGGAGCATCCATGGGGACATCATCTCAAAGAGCTCCAGTTACTGCACAAGGTGAATAACCTCCGCTTCTCTGAGAGGTCCCTGTAGATGCTCTGCGCAGGATGATTAGCAAGCAGTTTCAGCCTGTGGTGGCAGGGGCTTTAAAATATTGCAGAAGACTGATGACAGAACTGCAGAACCCACCGAAGTGTCATGTCCATACGAGAGCACATAGTGCTTAGCAAAGGTAAGTTGTGACATCCAATTGGGGCTGCCTTGCAAATGTCCAAAAATGTGACATTGCGTAGGTATGCAGTGGTAGAGGATAGGTGGAATGAGCCATCAACCTTAATGGTGACTGCAGGCCCTTTAGAATGTAACAAAGCTTTTTACAGTTGGTGATCCATTTGGACAATCTCTATTTTGATATGGGCTGCCCATTAACCAGTTCAGCAAATGCCAAGAAGAGCAGAGGAGATTTTCTAAAGGGCCTAGTTCTGTGCAAATAAAATACTAGTGCATGCCTGACATCAAGAGTGTGCATGGAAGCCTTAGTTGCATTGGCATGTGGTTTTGGAAAGGATACAGGTAAATGCAGTGGTTCATTTATGTGAAATGAGAAGGCAACTTTAGGTAAGTACATCAGGTGCGTGCAAAGGGTGACCTTATCTCAGTGGAATATTGTAAAAGGTGGGTCAGCAATGAGTGCTGCCACGTCTCCGATGAAACTGATATTTATGGCAACCAACAATGCAACCTTCATGAAGAGGTGTGCTAAGGAGCAAGATGCAAGAGGCTCAAAAAGTGGCCTGGTCAGGGGTCACAGTACCAGACGCAGGTCCCAGGGAGGTGATGGTTGTGTGACATCAGGATGTAGGAGATGAAGCCTTTTGAGGAACCACTTGATTGTAGGGTGAGTAAAAATGGACCAACTTTCAATTTTGTAATGAAAGACTGTAATGGCCGGTAGGTATACTTTGATGGAGCTGAATGGAAGTGATGCTTCCTTCAGAGTGAGGAGGTAGTCCAAGATAAATGATAGGGGCACTGATATCAGGTTCTGCCCTTTGGAGGTGCACTATGCTAAGAATCGTTTCCATTTATATGTGTAGGAGGCGTATGGGGAATCTTTAAGACTATGTTTAAGGATTGTGCGTATCTATTCTGAAAAGCCTACTTTGGAGTGGAAGAGCCACAAAGGAGCCATGCCATTAGATTCAGCTTGCACAGGCCTGGGTAGGACTGTGATGTCTGACTCACAGTTATGAGATTGCGCTGAAGAGGGAGACTGATGGGTGTGTAGATTGACATCCTGAGCAAGAAGGGATACCACATTTCTCTTGGCTATGTGGGGGCTATAAGTATGACTGTAGCCCTGTTTGTCCTGACCTTGTGGACTACTTTGGCAAAGAGAGGTAAAGAGGGAAAAGCGTAAGAAAGCTCTTGACTCCATGGAATAAGAAAGGCGTCTCCAATCGATCCTTCCTGATGCCTGCTCTGGAGCAAAAGTGTATATATTTGGTGTTTTGAGGTGTAGTAATCAGGTCTATTGACAGGCGACCCCATTTGCAGAAGAGAAAGTGTACTACTGAGGAACTGAGTACCCATTCATGACGTTGAGGGAAATGTCTGCTGAGAGCATCCATGGTTACATTGGTGACCCCTGGTATGTGAACTGCAGAAAGGTGGATGTTGTGATTGATGCAAAAATTCCACAACTTTATGGCCTTGGTGCATAGGGATCAGAACCTGGCGCCTTCTTGTCTGCTGATATAAAAAACACAGTCAATGTTGTTTTTGACATGGATG